CTGCCCAGCGTCGAGGAGTAATTTAGTGAAGTCCAACTTAATTTCGCTCGACTCCCTCAACTCTCCACTCCTAGATTTCTGACTACCACCCCAGCTAGCCCACAGGTCACGTCGTCAACACCACCACCACCACCTCCATCACCACTACCGCCATCACCACCACCACCACTACTACCGCCATCACCACCACCACCACAACTACCACTACTAACGCCATCACCACCATTACCTGCACTACCACCATCACCACAACTACCACTACCTGCACTGCCGCCACCACTACCACTACCACTACCTGCACTACCACCACTACTACCACTACCACTACCTGCACTGCCGCCACCACTACCACTACCACTACCTGCACTACCACCACTACTACCACTACCACTACCTGCACTGCCGCCACCACTACCACTACCCCACCACTACTGCCCTGCCACCACCACTACCACTACCACTACCTGCACTGCCACCACCACCACCACTACCACTACCACTACCTGCCCTGCACCGCCACCTACCACTACCACTACCTGCACTACCACCACCACTACCACTACCACTACCTGCACTGCCACCACCACCACCACGACCGCTCCACCTGGGAATGTTGTGTTGTCTTTTAATGGATTAATTTAAGCAAGTGACCCTGACCTTCATGTAACCCCTCCCCCACTCCCCTCTCTCTCACCCTCACTACCACCCCCACTACCTCACACCACCACCACCTCAACACCCCCACCCATCCATCAAACCTCCCCATCCCCCACACCCCATCACCCATCCTAGACAACTGTAACCTACCTGAAGGGCCTCATATTCCCCCCATCAGATAAATCCCCCGGTGTCATCTATATAAATGGGAACAAGCCAATAAAACCTTTCTGTAATAGGGACGGGTAGGAAGGGGGGTGTGGGAGGGGGGTGTGGGAGGGGGGTTGTGGGAGGGGTGGAGGGGTTGTGGAGGGGGGTGTGGAGGGGGTGGGATGTGAGGGGGTTGTGGAGGGGTGTGAGGGGTTGTGAGGGAGGTGTGGGAGGGGGTGGGAGGGGGTGTGGAGGGGTTGGGGAGGGGGGTGTGGGATGTGGGAGGGGGTTGTGGGAGGGGGGGGGTGTGGAATGGAGGAGACGTTAACATATCTATTTGTGATTATATTCTGCATCGGTTTGTCACTAAATGGGTTATGTCAAGGGTTTTTGGGGAGGGAGGGCCTCTGTGTGTGTGTGTGTGTGTGTGTGTGTGTGTGTGTAAGAAAGACCTGACTATGTACATCGAAGAAATATTATGAAGGTCTTATTTACAACACACACACAAACACACAACAATCACACTGACCTATAAGAACAGCCCAGTCCCAACCATTGTAAAATTATCAATAACATGTAATAAATCAGTGTATTCACTCCCAGTAAACACTGCTCCCTACACTGTCACTATGTTGAAATGAACTGTAGTTTGAGCTGATCCCCATCTAAGTTACTATATGTCTTATTTGTGTCACTTATGTCACTTGTATATTTGTAATTCGTAACCCATTCCCCAAATATGTAACTGTATATTTTCAGCCTTCTGGCTGCCAAGCTCTTTCAATAAATCGTTAATTATTATTATTATTATTATTACACACACACACACACACACACACACACACACACACACACACACACACACACACACACACACACACACACACACACACACACACACACACACACACACCATATTCAACAAAGTATCAAATAACACCATTATCTCCTTCCCTCACCTTCTCTCCTCTCATTCTTGTGTATCTCACCTCTTATCTCTTCCTGTAATTTATCTTCTATTTCCTAATTCCCTTTCCTGTTCTACGTTACCCTCTTCTCCTCTTCCTGCTGTTCCCCTCTTCCTCTCTTATTATTAATCCCTTTCCCCCTTTTCCTCTTAATCTTCTCATTGTGTTTCTTCTCCTGATTTTCATCTGATTCCTCTTCTCTTTCTTTTTGTCGTTCATCCTTTCTTCCTATCACCTCTTCCCTCTATTCTTCCTCCTCCTACTTCCTCTTCCTCCTCCTCCTCTCTTTCCACTCCTCCTCCCCTCTTTCCATTCTTCCTCCTCTTCCTCCTTCTTCTCTTTCCATCCCTCCCCTCCTATTCCTCCACCCACCTACCCTCTTCCCATTCTTTTCTCCCTCTCTTCCCTTCCTCCCTCCTCCTCCTTCTTCCTATTCCTCCCTCCTCTCCCTTCTTCCTATTCCTCCTCCCTCCTCCTCCCTTTCTTCCTATTCCTCCCTCCTCCTTCTTCCTCTCTCCCTCATCCTCCTCCCTCCCTTCTTCCTATTCCTCCCCCCTCCTCCTCCCCCCTCCTCCTCCCTCTCTTCCCTTTCCTCCCCTCCTCCTCCCTTCTTCCTATTCCTCCCCTCCTCCTCCCTTCTTCCTATTCCTCCCCTCCTCCTCCCTTCTTCCTATTCCTCCTCTCCTCCCTTCTTCCTATTCCTCCCCTCATCCTCCTCCTCCCTTCTTCCCTATTCCTCCCCTCCTCCTCCCCTCCTCCTCCTCCTCCTCTCTTCCTATTCCTCCCCTCCTCCTCCTTCTTCCCTATTCCTCCCTTCTTCCCTATTCCTCCCTCCCTTCTTCCTTCCTCCCCTCCTCCTCCTTCTTCCTATTCCTCCCTCCTCCTCCTCTCTCTTCCCCTATTCCTCCCCTCCTCCTCCTTCTTCCTATTCCTCCCTTCCTTCCTATTCCTCCCCTCCTCCTCCTCCCTTCTTCTCCTATTCCCCCTCCTCCTCCCTCCCTTCTTCCTCCTCCCTCCTCCTCCTCCTCCTATTCCTCCCTCCCTATTCCTCCCCTCCTCCTATTCCCCCTCCTCCTCCTCCTCCCCTTCTTCCCTATTCCTCCCCTCCTCCTCCCTCCTCTTCCCTATTCCTCCTCCTCCTCCTCCTCTTCCCTCCTCCCTCCTCCTCCTATTCCTCCCTCCTCCTCCTCCTTCCTATTCCTCCCTCCTCTCCTCCCTTCTTCCCTATTCCTCCCCTCCTCCTCCTCCTCCCTTCTTCCTATTCCTCCCCTCCTCCTCCTCCCTCCCTTCTTCCTATTCCTCCCTCCTCCTCCCCTTCCTATTCCTCCCCTCCTCCTCCTCCTCCTATTCCTCCCTCCTATTCTCCCCTCCTCCTCCTCCTCTCTTCCTATTCCTCCTTCTCCTCTCTCTTGTCTCGTTCAATTTTCATACATTCCTCGTCTTCCCTCCCTCTCCCTCCTTCCTAGTAGTGTTGGAGACAGGTGTGTAGTGTTGGAGACAGGTGTGTGTGTTGGAGACAGGTGTGTAGTGGTGGAGACAGGTGTGTAGTGGTGGAGACAGGTGTGTAGTGGTGGAGACAGGTGTGTAGTGGTGGATACAGGTGTGTAGGTGTGTGGTGGAGACAGGTGTGTAGTGGTGGAGACAGGTGTGTAGTGGTGGAGACAGGTGTGTGTGGTGGAGACAGGTGTGTAGTGGTGGAGACAGGTGTGTGGTGGTGGACAGTGTGGTGTTGGGGTCCAGTTCTCTCCACACCTCCCAAGCGAAATTACAACAGAGCCCATTGCATACCTGTCTGTCTTTCTGTCCGTCTGTCCGTCTATCTGTCTGTCTCTCCCCCCCTGGAGCTCTAGATAAGTCCCAACTCGAGTCTCAGTGAAAGATCAACGCCATGATGGATGTCTCTGGAGAATCTCTTAAGTCATTGCTGTTGAGAAGATGAGGAGGAATCTCTCTCTCTCTCTCTCTCTCTCTCTCTCTCTCTCTCTCTCACTATCTTTGTTCCGGTTCAGCCTCTAGAGAAATATCCCAGTATTTGTGCTTCTTCTGAAATGAACTATGTAAATAGCCCGTGAAATTGAAAATCCTGAGAGGCGGTGCTAAACGAATAATGACCTCTCTTTTACAGTTGTGTGCGTGTGTGTGTGTGTGTGTGTGTGTGTGTGTGTGTGTGTGTGTGTGTGTGTGTGTGTGTGTGTGTGTGTGTGTGTGTGAGTGTGTGTGGGTGTGTGTGTGTGTGTGGTGTGTGTGTGTGTGTGTGAGAGAGAGAGTAGAAAAGGCCGTAAATTCAGTGTCGTGTTAATTTTGAAAACTTAAACTGACTCTTACACTTGCAAACTCTCTCTATTTCACACACACACACACACACACCTACAGATTCGATCACTTTCACCAAATTAACTTAATCTCGCCAAATCACTGCCCAGGCGATCACAACATCTTCCCTATAACAAAGCCGCCAACAGGTCTTGCCACTTTACAGCCAATCACAACCTTGCAATACTAAACGCCAGCGAGATGATTGGTTACCGCAGTCATACACGCATACAGACGAGTCAATTTCCAGAAGGGCGAGTCTGAAAGGTTCGTTCGCTACATTAACTTGACCCCAGAACTGAAAATGCCTTTAACTGGCTCACTTAACCTTTAGAATAGAAATGGCAAAGAAAAATGGCGTTCAAATTGCCTTAAGACTCTATCGTGACTATTACAACTTCTCTTACTTATTGGTTAAGGAGGAAAAAAAAATATACATATACATATATATTTAACTTGAGATTCTTTAAGGATTTTGGAGCCGGACCGTGAAGGCTGGCCACGTTATGTGAGGGGGGGTGAGGGGTGAGGGGGGGGTGAGGGGTGAGGAGGAAGAGTGAGAGTTGAGGGAGAGAGAACATGAGAGGAGGAATGAAGGCATGTGAGAGGGTGTGAGAGGCGGGTGAGAAGTGAGAAAGACGTGAGAGGGAGGGTTGAGAGGTGGAGTCAGACAGAGAGAGAGAGTGAGTGAAAGAGTATGAGAGGAGTAGTGAGGGAAAGTGAGAGGGTGTGAGGGTAGAGACATATTCATCCTCACTCATGTTCACAGCTGTCATGTTCACCTCCTCACACTCCAAGACAACATAATCTTCCTCCCTCATGTTCCTGACTCATATATTCGCTTTCCTCACGCTCCAGGCTGTATGTTCATCGCCCTCATGTTCCTAGCTGTCATATTCACGCTCTTAGCTATCATATTTGCCCTTCCTCACGTTCCTGGCTGTCATATTCCCCTCCCTCACACTCCAAGACACCATACTCGTCGCCTCCATGTTCCCAGCCGCCATATTCACGCTCCTGGCTGTCATATTCACGCTCCTGGCTGTCATATTCCCCTCCCTCACACTCCAAGACAACATATTCGTCGCCCCCATGTTCCCAGCCGCCATATTCACGCTCCTGGCTGTCATATTCACGCTCCTGGCTGTCATATTCCCCTCCCTCACACTCCAAGACAACATATTCGTCGCCTCCATGTTCCCAGCCGCCATATTCACGCTCCTGGCTGTCATATTCGCCTCCCTCACAACATATTTACCCTTGGCTGGTTGTGGTCGGGCTTCACCATGGGCTGTTGGTCGATGGTGCAGGTTTTTTATATCCTGGTCGTGACAGTAAGCTATTTTTTATGTCGTTCATAAAGCGGGATTTACTTGATGTTTATTTCAGGAGGAGGAAGACCAAGCGAGGCTATTTCCCCCCTTGTCTTAACCTGACCTGATTTAACACGACCTGACCTAACCTGACCTATCCTAGTTAAGTTAGATTAGGTTAGGTTAGGTTAGGTTAGGTTAATGGCAGGGTGTTCAATCATCAGGTGATTTGATTTGATTTTGATTTTGCCGCTTGCAGCGGCTACTTTATTGTGCACCCCACACTCATCCTGTGAGCGGTAGCGCAAAAGGATTACAGAGTAGGGTTTACAAAGGGTCATAATAATTAACCCCCGTTGTCAGGATATTATGGCACTGAAAGTTACACAGTATTTCATTTACATTATTTGTTTAGTTCTATACATAAAGGGTAACTTATTCACAAATGCGTGAGAACAAGCGTGTGAGGCAGTATGTCTGGCCTCACACTTTGTTATTCACATTTACGTGGGAGGTATTCAAGCACGTGGCATAAGCTATAGGGTGGTTAATCTTCACTTAACCCAAACACACTCCTAACACTCCAAGCATCGTCCCTAAAGTGAATCATCGGAACCTCCACAACTGACCCCTGACCCTTAATTACTCCAGTTACCAGGGATAAGGTGAAATAAACGATCATTAAATATCTAAATGCTTCGTACGCCATCCACAACAGTTTCATTAAGGTAACAAGTGAATGAAGCGAGGCGCAATGATTCTTTGATATGACTAGACTTCCCTAATACGACCACCTGGCTTCAACGACCGTGTTTAGAGTGGAGATTCTGATCACCCTCAACATTAGCTCCCACACCCCACCCCCAGCAGTAGTTCATTTCACCTGAGGATTAAACAACCTAATACTATCTGGAGGGGTTAGGTTAGATTAGGTTATTTTCGGCCAGGTTAAGTTAGGTTAGGTGAGGTTATGTTAGGTTAGGTTAGGTTATGTTAGATTAGGTTATTTTTGGTCAGGTTAAGTTAGGTTAGGTGAGGTTATGTTAGGTTAGGTTAGGTTATGTTAGATTAGGTTATTTTTGGTCAGGTTAAGTTAGGTTAGGTGAGGTTATGTTAGGTTAGGTTAGGTTATGTTAGATTAGGTTATTTTTGGTCAGGTTAAGTTAGGTTAGGTGAGGTTATGTTAGGTTAGGTTAGGTTATGTTAGATTAGGTTATTTTTGGTCAGGTTAAGTTAGGTTAGGTGAGGTTATGTTAGGTTAGGTTAGGTTATGTTAGATTAGGTTATTTTTGGTCAGGTTAAGTTAAATTAGCATAAAGGTCTCCAATGACTAGGTGAAACAGACTATGATGCCTAATGTTCTATGTGATCAAGTGCCTATTACCTGTCACCAGTGCCTCAGTATTACCAGGTGTGACAGTCCCCCTCTGAGCGTCAGGTAAGATGAGATTAACCCAACTTCTGTTCCTGACTATAAACTTGTGAGTGTGTTAATCCCTTATGTAACTCAGATTATTATAGGAAACACCAGAGCCAGTAGCGTGTTCCTTTGTTACTGAGCTCACACGAGATTTGGCTCATTAACTCGGCGTTGTAATTTAGCTTAAACATTAAAGAAGTCAGTCTCAGCTCGTAGTAACCTTGGTTCGGTCACTAAGCTCACAGTCACCTTGATACGGTCCCTCTCAGCTTACAGTCGCCTTGGCCCAGTCACTCTCAGCTTTCGGTCACCTTGACCCAGTCACTCTCAGCTTAGAGTCACATTGGCCCAGTCACTCTCAGCTTACAGTCACATTGGCCCAGTCACTCTCAGCTTACAGTCACATTGGCCCAGTCACTCTCAGCTTACAGTCACATTGGCCCAGTCACTCTCAGCTTACAGTCACATTGGCCCAGTCACTCTCAGCTTACAGTCACATTGGCCCAGTCACTCTCAGCTCACAGTCACCGTGTAAAATCGAGGAATGAATATGTTGTCCTGGAAAGTGACGAAGACGAACATGACATCTGGGGACAGGAAAACGCATAAGATTACCATTAGATTCTTAATACAGTTGAGACGCCATTGTAGCTACGACTTTTTCTAGCCATTAAGTTAAGGCGTAGAGGAGAGAGCATCCATCTTAAGCGGCTTTTGAGAATTTCAATCCTGGAAGTTAATTCGTTTATTTATATTTCCATAAATGCGCAGCGCCGGGAACCAATCATCTAGCTGAGTTTTTGCTTTTTTTTTTCCTTGCGAAGTTGTAATTGGCTGGGAGGTAACAGGAGGTGCTGGGGGAGGGAGAGACGTTGAGAATTTTTGGTCCTGGAAGCTGTTTCGTTTGTTTATGTTTATATAAATACGCAGCGACGGGAACCAATCATCTAGCTGGGGTTTTTTCCTTGAGAGGTTGTGATTGGCTGGGAGGTGACAGGAGGTGCTGGGGGCTGTGTTAACGGGGAGACTTTATGGTCGTGTGGCTCAGACAGCTGGAATTTAGTTAAGGAAATTCTATTTGGGAGAAAGTAATGGAATCTTCTGATAATTTTATGTTAACTGAGTCAGAGGTGTTGAAGGAATGTGACTCACACACCTTAAGGCTGTGAAATGTGGCAGAGATGTGTATATATGAACTAGAAAGTGCACTTGAGGAACCAAGATGTGCACATTGGGGACTACATTGTGCACATGAGTACTATGGTATATATATGGAGTCTAGAATGTGCACACGAGGTACCAAAATGTGCACATGTGGACTAGGATGTGAAACCAATATGTGCACAAGATGGATTAAGATGTACGCAGTAGACTATGATATGCACACGTGAAACAAGGATGTGTACACTACATGGAAACTATGAAATGTACATGTGAACTAGGATATACACACAGGGTCTAGAAAACGTTCACAGATAATCAAATACGTACACACTTTTTCTCTATATCAAAAAGATGTGTCACTTTTAATTACTGAATGAAGTGTAGTAACGCATTAGGACCACCTGAAGATTAGCCCCCCTCCTCCCTAGCTTATTTCACATAATGATTAAACACCCTAACTCTACCTGGAGGGGTTAGGTAAGGTTAGGTTAGGTTAGGGTGGTTAGGGTAGTTAGGGTAGTTAATCTTCAGGTTATGTTAGGTTAGGTACAGGTTAGGTTAGATTAGGCCAGGTAAGATTAGGGTAGGTTAGATTAGGATAGGTATGGTTAGGTTAGGTTAAGATAGGTATGGTTAGGTTAGGTTACCTTTAGGGTGGTTAATCTTCAGGTGATCCATAACGTCTTGACAGCATCCATTAACCCACTACCGACCTCATCTCCTCACACTAACTCACCATCAATCACCTCGCCTTCACACTAACACACTGCTAATGTTCAATTAACACGTGTTGACGCCGCCAAGCGCTAATGGTACGCCGTCACGCATTAATGGTACGCTGTCATGCATTAATGGGACGCTGTCATGCATTAATGGGACGCTGTCACGCATTAATGGGACGCTGTCACGCATTAATGGTACGCTGTCATGCATTAATGGGACGCTGTCATGCATTAATGGGACGCTGTCACGCATTAATGGTACGCTGTCACGCATTAATGGTACGCTGTCATGCATTAATGGGACGCTGTCATGCATTAATGGGACGCTGTCACGCATTAATGGGACGCCGTCATGCATTAATGGTACGCTGTCATGCATTAATGGGACGCCGTCATGCATTAATGGTACGCTGTCACGCATTAATGGTACGCTGTCATGCATTAATGGGACGCTGTCATGCATTAATGGTACGCTGTCATGCATTAATGGTACGTTGTCATGCATTAATGGTACGCTGTCATGCATTAATGGGACGCTGTCATGCACTAATGGGACGCTGTCATGCATTAATGGTACGCTGTCACGCATTAATGGGACGCTGTCATGCATTAATGGGACGCTGTCATGCACTAATGGGACGCTGTCACGCATTAATGGTACGCTGTCATGCACTAATGGGACGCTGTCACGCATTAATGGTACGCTGTCACGCATTAATGGGACGCTGTCATGTATTAATGGTACGCCGTCATGCACTAAGGATACACCTGTAATATATACCTGGACAGTGACAGTTAAGCACCTGTAATATATACCTGGACAGTAACAGTTAAACACCTGTAATATATACCTGGACAGTGACAGTTAAACACCTGTACCATATACCTGGACAGTAACATATATACACTTTTAATTATAAAACATGAATTCTGTTGTGTGTATGTGTGTGTGTGTGTGACCAAGATTACAGTAAAGGGTATGTGATATTCCCTCTGGCCTACAGCGGTGACCTTTGACCTGACGGATGGAAGGACGGAGGAGGAGGAAGGAAGGGAGGAGGAGGAGGGAGGGAGGGAGGGAGGGAGGGAGGGATTCTCTTCACCCCGTTACTCCTACACGTCATACACTAATACAACGTTTCACTCATGCACTATTCATCATCATACACTATTCACCGCCTCTCATACACTATTCACTATTACACACTATTCATCATCATACACTATTCACTATTACACACTATTCACCATCATACACTATTCACCATCATACACTATTCACCATCATACACTATTCACCATCATACACTATTCACCATCATACACTATTCACTATTACACACTATTCACCATCATACACTATTCACCATCATACACTATTCACCATCATACACTATTCACCATCATACACTATTCACCATCATACACTATTCACCATCATACACTATTCACCATCATACACTATTCGCCATCATACACTATTCACCATCATACACTATTCACCATCATACACTATTCACCATCATACACTATTCACCATCATACACTATTCTGCACCTCTCATACACTATTCACCATCTCATACACTATTCACCATCATACACTATTCACCATCATACACTATTCACCCATCATACACTATTCACCATCATACACTATTCTGCATCATACACTATTCTGCATCATACACTATTCACCATCATACACTATTCACCATCATACACTATTCACCATCTCATACACTATTCACCATCATACACTATTCACCATCATACACTATTCACCATCATACACTATTCACCATCATACACTATTCACCATCATACACTATTCACCATCATACACTATTCACCGCCCTCTCATACACTATTATTCACCATCTCATACACTATTACCATCATACACTATTCACCATCATACACTATTCACCATCATACACTATTCACCATCGCACACTATTCACCATCATACTATTCACCATCATACACTATTCACCATCATACACTATTCACCATCATACACTATTCACCATCATACACTATTCACCATCATACACTATTCACCATCATACACTATTCACCATCATACACTATTCACCATCATACACTATTCACCATCTCATACACTATTCACCATCATACACTATTCACCATCATACACTATTCACCATCATACACTATTCACCATCATACACTATTCACCATCATACACTATTCACCCATCATACACTATTCACCATCATACCTCTTCACCATCATACACTATTCACTGCACCTCTCATACACTATTCACCATCTCTCATACACTATTCTGCATCATACACTATTCACCCATCATACACTATTCACCATCATACACTGTTCACCATCATACTGTTCACCATCATACACTATTCACCATCATACACTATTCACCATCTCATACTATTCACCATCATACACTATTCACCCTCATACACTATTCATAAGCATCATACACTATTCACCATCTCTTTACTATTCACCATCATGCACTATTCTGCATCATACACTATTCATCATACACTATTCACCATCATACACTATTCACCATCATACACTATTCACCATCATACACTATTCACCATCATACACTATTCACCATCTCATACACTATTCACCATCATACACTATTCACCATCATACACTATTCACCATCATACACTATTCACCATCATACACTATTCACCATCATACACTATTCACCATCTCATACACTATTCACCATCTCATACACTATTCACCATCATACACTATTCACCATCTCATACACTATTCACCATCATACACTATTCACCATCATACACTATTCACCATCTCATACACTATTCAGTCACTGCTCAGCCAGGTAAGACCGTAAGAGCTCCTCAAGGTAACTCCCCAAAACCTAATTAGCTTAATGAGGCAGAAAAATAGCCTCACTGTCAACCAACTTGAACAGCTCTTTAGATAGATAGATAGATAGATAGATAGATAGATAGATAGATAGATTGATAGATAGATAGATAGTTTTAATTGAGGTTAGGTTAAGTTACGTTAGTTTAGGTTAAAGTTACGTTAGTTTAGGTTAAAGTTTGTTTAGATAGGATGAGAGAGAGAGAGAGAGAGAGAGAGAGAGAGATATATATATACATAACCTTGTCATACATACATACATACATACATACATACATACATACATACCACCTTCCTTAAAAAGAGAATTCTACCTCTCTAAAATCGTGACAACAGATTCTATAACTTGACTCGAGAGGAAATAAGTACAGATTTGGGTTAGGTTAGGTAAGGTCAGGTCAGGTCAGGTCAGGTCAGGTTAGGTTAGGTTAGGTCAGATAGCTAATTTCCATTCATAATTTGGGGGTCAGAGGTCACGTAGAGGTCAAGCTAGATAACACAGAGGACAGGGAACATAACACAGAGGACAGGCAAGATAACAATGAGGTCAGTTAGAGGTCAGGGAGGTACCTCATTCTCGACCTAAGTTGCTTTAATTACCTCTGTGTAGACCCAACAGCTGGAGGTCAATATCTCATGGTATGGGCTTTATACATCCACTTTACAGAGTATATAATGACGGTACGGCACATTGTCTGTCTGTCTGGCTGCGTGTCTATCTGTCTGTCTACCTGCCTGCCTATCTGTCTGTTTGCCTGACTGTCTGTCTATCTGTCTGCTTACCTGCCTGTCTACCTACCTGTCTGTCTCCCTACTTGTGTGTGTGTCTGTCTGGCTACTTGTCTCTATCTGTCTACTTATCTCCCTGTCTACTTGCCTGTCTACCTGTCTGCCTGCTTGTCTGTCTGCCTACCTGTCTTTTTGCTGCCTGCCTGTCAACATTTCAGTTTTCACGTAATAAGTGACGATCTACCTGAACTTAATTGAATTTACGAGTTAGCCCTCACGATATACACAAGCTGAAGGATTTAAAGCTCCCTGAGGTCAAAGGTCACAGGGGCTGGGTTAGAGGTCATGGGGCTGGGGTCAGACGTCATGGGGCTGGGGTCAGAGGTTCACGGGGCTGGGTCAGAGTCACGGGAGCTGGGGTCAAAGGTCACAGAGGTCTTTCAGGGTGCATTATGTGCCATTTCCACTAATCTTGTTATGGAACTGTTTGTGTATTCAGTGAAATGAGGTGTTGGTGATTTAGAACTATGTACTGATGGTGATTCAAATAATGACAGAGTTAATTATCATGATTGGTTTCTAATTACTCTTGAAGACTCTTAAGTACCATCAACCATTCCAGAGACTTATTAAAGAGGTTTAACGAATTGACCTCATAAATTGACTATTAATTAAGTAGAAAGGTGTTTGAGTTGTCTTAATGTTCTTAGTGCCAGTCTGGGTACATATTGCCGAGTGGGCGTAGTGATATTTCCCTCAAGTCTTTCAGTGTTTTATTTGAGTTTTTGGTTATGTTTTTGTCCTGTTTTTTCTCCTTTCTTCCTTCTCCGCCTCCTCCTGCATGTCTGGGGTGCATTGAAGGAGAGAGGAGAAGAAGAAGGAGGAGGAGGAGGAGGAAGGAGGTGATGGTCAGGAAGAGAAGTGCAAGGTAAATTGTGTGAAAAAGAAGGTTAGGTGTGAAAGAGTATGTTGGTATACACACACACACACACGCACACACACACACACACACACACACACACACACACACACACACACACACACACACACATCATGACCACCGAAAGGGGGTCAAGACGTACCTGGCGCTCCTCTCCGGAGCAGCCAGGTCAACTGTTAAGTTGGCCCATACCAACTCCCTCCCCTGAACCCTCCTCCCCACCGGATATCAGCAAGTTCTCGCCAGAAGTTACAATTTCATTTAGGAAAGGAACGGAACCAGTGTTAAACAGGGGTGAACAGTGGTGAACAGTGCGTAAGTCAGTGAGAACAACTCAACAGTAACAGTTGTACCCAAGTTAACCTTCACACAGTGAGGTCCCAGGTACCCAGTGATAACGGCCCGTGAGACCCAA